TATTTAAATTGAGTTTTTTATAAATATTATTAAAAGTCTTAAATAGAAAAATTTGAAATAAAATTTAAAGCATCTTAAATACAAATTAAAATAAAAATAGCTCAAAGAATGTAGAAAAATATTTTCTAAGATTAAAATATATATTTTTTATAGAAATAAATTCAAATTTAGTCTTTAGCTGAACTTAGCTAGCCAATACCTTGCCTTATTTTTAACTCTACCTCTCAAGTTCCCTAAAACGTAACTCATAATCAGATTATTCCCAACATTCCTTCCCATCATATCATATATCATATATTAGCACGCTAACATAGTCTCCCTCTTTTTCCGTAGAGCATTCCAATTTCCTCAACAGCCTAATTAATGTTATAGTTTCTCATTTTTTATGCATTTTCTGTGGGTTTCACACCACTTGCTCTTTTTTTTTTTTTTTTTTAGATTCGTATGACAAATTGCGTACAATTGAGTGTGACGCGTTTTGTCTCTGAGTTAGTCTGAGGGAACCGCTGATCGGGGCGTCGCAGTGCCCGCAGCTGTTGGGCGTTTGTAATTAAATGAAATCTCGAGCGTTTGACTCGCCGTCAGCCGTAGCCTCAGCCTCAGCCTCAGTCCCAGTTCCAGCATCAGCATTAGCCCCAGCCCCTACCACAACCCCAATTTTATGCTCTTCAATTTTTGTTAGGGCTTTTCAAACGCTTTCCTTTAAGTTGTTTTTTATTGTTGAATGCTTCCTGGCCGTCAGCTTTTGATTTATGCGCATATTTTGGTTTTACGATGCAACAAAAAATTTGTTTGCTTTTCACACCTTAAAGCAGACGATTTCATAGTTTTATAGAGTTTTAATATTGCCCGCTGGACGTAATTAACAAAAAAAAAAGAAGTGAACAATGCACATTTAGTTTATGGTGGAATTTAAATATATGTAGGAAAAGCAAATAGTAGGGGTAGTCCCTCTGCCTCTCTCTCTCTCTGCCTTTGTCTGACTGACAGCCAAAAGATACAAAAAAAGAAGATAAGATACAATGCAGACGCTGAGACAAAAGCCAGACAGCAAATCAAATGTGAAACAGCTGCCAAAGCAAGTTCTAAAAATCAAATGGGCTACGCACACGCACAGCGAGGGGCATGCCGGGGCTCTATCTGTGTGTGCGTGTGTGTGTCTAAGGATCTGAGGGTCTGCGTCAGGACAGAGGCAGGTGCAATGTGTCGAGCTCAAAGATTTTTGTTGTTTTTGTTTTTCCTTCGACAATTTATGCAGGCACAAACTGGACAGCAAATGTTTTCAATGTCTGTGCGCTCTAAATCATAGATCTGAGAGCCAGACAAAGAGCAGCAGCTCGGTGCTGGGCAGGGACAGGGGCAGGGGAAGGGGCGAGGCAAGTAGGAACAAAGTACGCTTAGTTTTTGGGCATAAGTGCAAAGGACGTGTTGAGGCCGCGTAACATGTGGCTGAGCTAAGGATGCCCTCTGGACCTATGATGTAATGTGAGCTGCAGCAAATAGACCTCAGCTACCTGAGCAACTCGACTGAACTCAGGTAGTCAGAGATCAATTTCATGCACTGAGCGAAATAAATGGGCAGAGAAATTTAATTGGAATTAGACGAATATGTGAAAATTTATAAATGCATAAATTCTATTGGTATACAAGGAATGGGAGAAGAGATTTAGGAAATACTTAATTGTAATACAGGGAATATCAGAAAGTTTATATACATAGAAAGGAATACAAGGAATATTAGAAGCGATTAAAGAAATATTTAATTGGAATACAGGGCAATACAGAAAGTTCACATATACAGAAAGTCAATACAAATGTCAGAAGGGTCTAAAGAGATATTTAATGTAAATTCATATATATAGATGATTAAATGCAATAAAATATATATCACAATTTTTTTTATATGTAATTATATATTTTTGCTCATTTTTCTCTCAGTGTACGTTGGATAATCCAATATAATATTGAATATATGATCCTATTTTTCCCATATATATATTGTTTATAGAAAGATTTCCATATTCCAAGCAATCTGAACTACCTTATATGTGTATATCCCCTTCTCTATCTTATATAAGTCTCCTGCCCATCGATAAACATTTTAACTCAACATATTTCATATTCTCAACAACCCTCACCTCTTCTCACCCTCTCTAGCCACTATTTCTCACAGTGTATGCTCTTCTCTTTTGCTTACAGAACGCTCCTGGACGTGGCTGTACCGCTGGCCGGTGGCAGCGGCGATGTGGGCAGCAGCTTGGCCGGCACCAACCTGAACATGTCCGCCATGGCGGGAGGCGGTGCTGCGGACAGCGTGGAGCTGGGCGGCGCGCCATTGGGCTACAGTTTTCGCAAATGGTTTGCGCGACCCTCGCTGCCCTTCGTCATTGGCATCTTTGCGCTGGGCGGCGTTGCCTGCACCCTGGGCGGCATTGTGCTCGGGTCCACTGGGCTGATTGAGCACTCGACGCAGTATCTGAGCGCTGCGCTGCTGATGATTGGCATTGGCGTCTCGCTGCTGGTCATTTCGGGCGCCATCTGGCGGCTCAGTTTGCCGGACGATGTCGACGATTGCCCCTGCTTCCGGCGCATGGAGACCTGCCGGAACTGCAATAGTCCGCACTGCACGAATCGCCTGCTGCCGGGCAGCTATCTCTATCCAGAGTTTCAGCACCGACCCCCGCCGCCTTCCTATTTGACGTCGCTGAATGAATACGCCTTCGTCTATCATCCCAGCGCTCATCCGCAGGCCGCATATGCTGCAGTGCGCATGAATACGCCGCCGCCGCTCTATCGCTCCACCTACTCCTTGAAGTAAGTCTAGCTAAGATTAAAGACTGTAAATAGTTAACTAATCTATCTCTCTCTCTCTCTCTCTCAATCTTTCTTTATAGCACTTCAGCTTCGCACATGCTCTCAGCTGGCATGTCCTTGCCGCCCACCAGCGAACAGGTGCTGGAGGAGCCGGTGACACGCGAGGCCATCAGCCAAACGTCCTTCAAGGAGCTGGAGATTGTCGAGCTGCACGAGGATCAGTCGGCCATGCCGCTCACACGCGAAGCCGAAAGCCAAACGCTCTTCAAGGAGGTGGAACTCGATTAGAACTCGCAAAGTTTTGATAACGAATCTCTCTCCCACTCCTGAATCTTGACTGATTTTCATCATATACAAACTATATATATTCATATATGCATATATATGTACGATCTACACATACATATTCAGATTTGCGTATCCTCAACATATTGACAACTGTACAAATTTAGTTTTAGTTTTTATTTTTGCTTTCTTAGTGGAATTTAAGTGTACATAATTTATACTTATATAAAAATATATATATATTTATAACTGAACGTCCTAACTATACACCTCTATACATATACACAAATGTAGTTTATACATAGCTTAGTATTTACATGTGTTTTCAGTTTTAGCCAAATGCTCAGTGCCTGCGGCTCTTCTATGTTATGTTGATCATATTCCAAATGCCAAATTTAATAATAAATGTCTTCAAATGGCCTAAATGTGAAACGAAATGTGTTGTTATTGAACTATTGATTAAAAAAAAACTGGCGAAACAAAAATCATTTTCGTCTATTCTTCATATGTGACATGCTTATTCTGGCCACCACTGTAGGCTAGCTAAGTCGCACTTAAAAGGTTGTTGTCTTGACTAAATATTCAGCAGTCTAAGCCAGTGCTGCCAACTGTTGAACTCCGAAATAAGTTGGACTGTGGATAAATATAGGCAGAAACAGGCTAAATTGTAGGAATTAATGCTGGAATAGCGAGATAGGAAGAAAAGAAAAGAAAGAAAGAAAGAAATAATTATTTGCAGTGGCAATTTTTTACTCATCATAATAATAAAATAATATATGTATGCATAATATGCATATGTATAATATATGCATAAAATAATATATAATAATATGCATAGACATGTATGTATTAATTGCTTAACTTTTTAAACAAAACAACCGGCAGTTTGTCCTCTAAGTATTCCTTCTATTTTCTCCAAGTCTTTGCTCCAAGTATTTCTTCTAAGTCTTACCTCCAAATATGTTTTCTGTTTGCTCTCAGCACTTGCTCTCAGTATTTTCTCCAACTACTTCCCCTCAGTCTTTAAAGCTTAGCTGCACGATCACGCACTTCACTTCACTTTACTGCACCGCACGACTGACCCCACCCACCAGGCCTGGGTGACTGAAGAAATGCTACAGCTGCTGCCCTTTATATAGGGCAACTCTTACTCACACACTAAGACAGGCTCAACTGTTGAGCAAGGCGCTAGGTAGAGATCGTTTTAGTCGAAGTTTAAATGAACCAATGGGAAGCCTCTCTCTTCTACAAGCACTCTAACTTCGTTTTAGTTCAATAAAAATACGAAGTGAATACTGCTGCACACATACAAACAACTTAAACGGTCTCCCTAGTTCTTCGTTCGGAGAGACAGACTGGGAGTCAGACAGAGAGTCAAATGTACAGAAAAACAATCAAACATATATATGCTTAATGAGGCTTTATGTTGATTGGCTAAATAGCTTATAGAGATTAATATTTATAATTATAGATGCCATAGTTCTCTTTAGGAATAGGAGTCTGTGAGTTTATTATAAATTGGCTAGATCTAGCCTGAACTAGGCTAAATTGGCAGCTCTGCTATAAACAATTTTTCACACCTGTTGCACTTCTTAAATAATTAATGCATTAAATACAATTTACAACTCTGCCGAATATAATCAATATACTAATTACTTAATAGAGCCTCTAAAAAAAATTAATTAAATGGGTCAACTGTTAATTAGACGCAGCTTGCTTAGTTTATATGAAAACTCATAATAACAAAAGTTTGTGGGTTTCGAGGCTTTGCCAGGAGTGGGAGCGATTAAAAATTGATGAAAGTCACATTAGAAATTCCCAAATTATGCCACACGATATGGCTTACATGAGGGCAATACGAAAATAAACGGCTCAAAAGTGTTTCAACAGTCGACGTGAAAATGTACCTTAAGTTTATGATTGTGTGCTTCGTGATAGTGCTGCTGGGAGCACTCATTGGATTTCTGGCATTTCCCATGATCTTCAAGCAGCTGATCAAGCGAGTGAGTTAGGAACTGATTATATAGTTATATATATTATATATATGTAACATTTGCCCAGAGTGTTAATCTGAAGCCCGGCAGTGAGACGCGTCAGCTGTGGGAGAAAATGCCTTTTCCGCTCAGCTTTAAGGTTTACGTCTTCAATGTTACGAATTCAGCGAATATCGAAGCCGGTGGCAAGCCGCAGCTACAGGAAGTGGGTCCATTTGTCTATGAGTAAGCAGCAGTTGCCCAAGAAGACCACATTTAGGAATGATTCTTTCTATATAGCGAGTGGAAAGACAAATATGATATAGTGGACATTGAGGCAGAGAACGCAGTCAGCTTTAATATGCGCAACACATTTCAATTCCGTCCGGATCTGGGGCTCAGCGGAGAGGAGCTGATAACCATGCCGCATCCCTTGCTGCAAGTGAGCTTAGAATTGAACTGAATTCTCTATATTTAACCAACCCAATCTCGCCTAGTTCCTAGCCATTGCCAATCTGGCACAGCCTGCTGAGGTGCAGGCTGCCGTTGCCCTGGGCCTGGATCTCATTTTCCAGCCTCAAAGCGCATTCATAACAGCCAAGTTCAAGGATCTCTTCTACGCTGGCATCGATGTCAACTGCGGCTCAGATCACGCCGCTGTTCAGGCCATTTGCCAGCAGTTCCAAGCAGGCGCCGTGCCTGGCGCTGTGGCCCTGAACGCCACGCACTATAAATTCTCACTGATGGGCGGGGCAAGTCCATTGCTATAAGTAAAAGTGTGAAAAGTTTTCCTATCAACCGGATTCTCTTCCCTCTGCAGGGCAATCACACAAATGCCGGACGCTTTAAGGTGCTGCGCACCTCCGGCTCTAAGCAGCTGACAGTGGGCCAAATTCTCGCCTACAACGAGGCTGAGCAATTGCAGGTGTGGCAGGAGACGAACGGCAGCAGCTGCAATCGCTTGCGCGGCACAGATGGCACCATCTTTGCGCCGCTCATGCAGCCACAGCACGGCCTGTGGAGCTACTCGGCACAGCTCTGTCGCTCCCTGACACCCAAGGCAATGGGCAAAACCAAATACAACCAGCTGCCAGCTCAAAGATACGAGCTAAGCTTTGGTTCACCAAGCGTAAGTGAGATCGAGTAATCCTTGGCCTCCAAGCAGAACTCTTCGAAAGAGAAAAAAGGATATATAGAAAAGATTTCCCTGTAAAATCTCAATCAAATCTATCTCTTCAGACGGAACCGGATTTGCACTGCTTTTGCACGGATTTTCCCGGCGATTGTCCAGCCGATGGCACTATGGATCTAAGGCGCTGCAGTGGCACGCCTTTAATGGCATCCTTGCCGCACTTTTATCAGGCAGATCCAAGGCTAGTGGAACAAGTGGAAGGACTTTCGCCTACAGCTGCTAAGCATGCCAGCACAATGATCTTCGAGCAGGTGAGTCGAGGACTCGTCTAACAAGATCCCTGTCTATTACGCTCCACGTACTCTTATCTCCTATAGCTATCTGGCACAGTGCTCACTGTATATAATCGCCTGCAGTTCAGCTTGAAAGTTATGCCAGTCAAGGATGTGCCCACCATGGCGCAGCTGCGTCCTTTGGCCATGCCACTCTTCTGGATCGAGGAGTCGTTGCAGCTGGATGAGAAGATAACGCAGCTGCTGCACAAAAAGATATTTGCGTAAGTTAACTTTGAATATTTCGAATAATAATGCCTAACTGCTTTCATATTTATCTACATGCAGCGTGCTGAATGCCAACAATTGGTTTAGATGGCTCTGCATTGGCCTTGGTAGCCTGGGCTGCATATTGGGCGGCTTGTTCCTTCACCTAAGTCGCAGCGATGCCAAACGCGTGGGCTTCACTGTAGAGGAATAGTTGGAGATATATATATATACAACATATATATCATTATTCAGCTATAAGCGTCTTGCTCCTTGGATTATAAATAGATCTATATTACAATGTTATTGAGGTTCCTCATAATCTCTTCAAGTAAAGAAAGAACAAAATCTCCTTAACCAATGGGGAATTACAGTCATTCAGCTTGCGCTTAATCTCTTGGTATATTAATATATATGCTTTGCCTTCAGTGTTTATAGCGTTTTACATTTTAAAATAGTACGAGTTGAATGTATTAGATGAGGTGATAGTGCTTGGAACAGTAGTATATAAATACATATATATAAAATTATATATCTTATTAGATATACGCACTACCCGAAGAAAGACGTGTACGAATGTGTGTGTGTGTGGACAATGCGAGCATGAATGTGTGGGTGTGTGTGTGGAAAGTGTTGTGCGAGGATGAGAATGAGTTCTCCTTTTAGTTCTGACGTCGCGTTTGTCGCAAGTTTTTCTCGATCTCGAATTGCCGCAGATCGGTGCGCTGCAAAAAGTCCTGGCGTTCCAAGTAACTGGAAAGAGGTATACTTCAATCAGTCAAGATTTTCATAATTTAGTCCAAATTACTCACCCATCTTTGCCTTTATTGTGAGTTTGCAGTTCCTCGTCGATGCCTTCTTCGCTCTTGAAGGATTTCCAGTCTAGCTGCGACTTTTCCAGCACCGACATTTTCTTCTTTTTACCCAACTGATTCAGTAGAGAGCCCAAGCCACCGCCAACTACACCTCCATTGGCGGCGGGTCGTTTGATGGCAGCGAAGCCGCGCGGAGCTGGCGATTTAGTCAGCGGGGCTGCCGGCTGCTGTTGGTTCTCCTTGGCACTCGAACTGGAACTGGTGCTGGAACTGGAACTGGAATTGCCTTTAGCCACAATCACTTGTTCGCCGGCAAAGTCAAGAATCTCTGTTGCCGGTTTGACGGGTTTGCTCGGCGGGCTCTGCGCTTGCTTTGCCGGGGAAGATTTCTCCTCTTGCTTTATAGCGGGTTTGCTGCTGGCACCGACATCGCCCAAAAAGTCAGCCCAGAGAGCATCGGAACGCGATTTGTCCATTTCCTCATCGGACTCCAATTCATCCTTTTCCGCAAGTTTGCGTCCATTCGCTTTAGGCTCGGTTTGACGTGTGCTGCGTGTTGGGCCCGACTCGGAATTTCCTGTATCTATTAATTTTTTCTTCACTTTGTCTTTCTTTTTGCCTTTTGCTGTTTTGCTGGGTTTTCTGCCTTCTTCGGCGTCGTCTTCGTTATCCGATTCGCTTTCGCTGTCCTCTTCTTCTTCCTCCTCGCCGGAATCCGCATCTTGCTCGTTGTCTAGGCAAAAATCCTCGTCGCTTTCATCGCTGTCTGAGGCATAGTCTTCCTCCTTATTCATATTATGATTTAGCTACTTTTAATTAGTTTACTATTATAAAAACACTACTATAGGTTGCTCAGCAAGTTGTGGTTTTTTCCGGCTGGGCTAAAGACGCACACTTAAACACAAATTGAACACACGCACGAAACGCGAAAGTCAGCTGCCCGCGAGCCAACTAGTGATGCACGTAGCTCAAAATATACACGCCAGCCGATTAATGCAACAGCTAAACTAGCTGTGCGATAGTCGTATATCGATATAGGCATGAAACAGCTGAGCTTATCTGGTTGGTTCATTTACCAAAGCGTTCCAGCTTCGTTACCATGTGAAACAGAACGCATTAAAGTGATATATAAAAAAAAAAAAGAAAATAGAAATATTAATCATAACATTTTAGTAATCAATCAAGCGTATATCAATTGTGCAATGCAAGTACTAATCCCAAACTAACACGCTGTGCATTTAAAAGCTATTCACAAAATGCTTAGCTAGGAGTTGGTGAAACACTGCCGCTGCAAGTGCGATTTTTTGGTGTGGCCTTCTTAATCGATTCCAGTTTTGCCTGTCCCAAAACCGAAAACAAAGCAAAATATTTATTCATCGCACAAGGGCAGAACAACACATTAGACTTAGGAGCGCTAGCTGGAACGAAAACGGGTAACAGGATCAAATTAACTAGCATATATGCTTATATGCATACGTGTGCGTGTGTATGTATGTGTAAGTTGCCATGCGATGGGCCAAGAGGTCGATAAAACTAATACGTATTTGTTTCCCTACAATATTTCCATTTGCAGGTTTATTGACAATGTTAAATACATTTGGAAACAATGTGCTGTGCTTTACCTACAGTTTACAGCAGGTGCACATTAACCAGTCAACGACAACAGCAAATTACAAATGACCAAAACGAGGAGTCGCTGCAACGGAAAAGCAATAATTAGCAACAAAACAAATAATTACAATAATAATAACGACGACGACGACAAGAACTTCAACTCAATCACAGGATACTTCCAACAATTGTAGCCAAAATTCTACGAATACGTGATTATCGTTATATATATACGTACTGCTTGCCGATACTATTGGTCATGTACTCCGAACCCTACGATACCGATGAGCTGGATGCGATTGTCGATGTGGTCGGCTTACGATCACAGTCGAGGCTCAACACGTTCCGTGAGATGTGGTATCATATCTTTCTGTGGGCACTCTTCTCATCCATATTTATACACACCTGCGCCGCCTTGGTTGCCTTTGTGACGCTCCGGCGCCACAAATTCGGTCGCTTCTTTTCCATACTGATTCTGGTGATGGGCTTCGTATCGCCCGCTAGCAGCGGGATCATTAGCAGCGCCGTTATTGCATTCGTCCACGTCGCTTCCAGCTTGCCCATGTCACCGATCTATGCGCTCTTCTGGGGCGTCGGACAGACCATATTCTCGGCCTGCTTGGGCTTCTTTCGCATTCTGGCCACGCTCTAGACAGAGTTGCGAATGGACTGACTACTATCTATCATATGGCAACGCAAATCCTGCCCATCCTCAAATTCTGTTTTCTTTGTTTATTATTTATGTGTATTTAGCTCTTAATGTTAATCATTTTTTACTTATATATATATTTAATATGTATTTCTAGTTCGCATTCAATATCCTCATAATCCAGTTAGAAAAAAAAAAAACGAAATAATTTTGTTCTTTAATTCAATATTGTTATTTTATATATAAATCAAATTCGTAAAGTCGTAATTTTAAAATAGTATTTTCTACGCGCCAAATCGAAGTATATATCTATCAACAAATTGTTCACGATTGCATATACTACAAACTAGAACTTAACAACTAATTAAACAATTATGATGTACATGTGTAAGAGAGGAATGCGTATAAAAAATATTGTGATTTTTAATATATATATATATACTATATTATATAAAGATAAATGAACTAGCGAACTGTATATAATTATTATTTAAGCACCTAAGCGATCGATTGTAAAAACAAAAACCAAATGAGCAGCTGAATAAACGGCCTAAATTCTATATAACTCAATGTATGATCTAATATATACTAGAACCCTATATTAATGTATTCGGATCCCTGGTAGTATATAGAGTATATAACTTATTGCTAAGCACGTTGCCAATCCTTCGTTCCGACTGCAGCGGCTGTGGTCCATTACTGCGCTTGATCTTGATGTCCGCCAACGTTTGCACGGCCTGTGGATCCTCCTCAAAGTGCTGCAACATGCGCTTGGGACATGGATATTGAGAGATTATGGACTCAGCCACCTCAAGTGTAACCAGTGGCAAACGATTCAGATGCTGTTGCCAGAGACGTCCATAGCCATTGCCCTGCTCCACGCGGACGCATTGTTTGTTATCATTGGCCAGGTATTTCTTAAAGCTGCCCAGAATCGATTGCCGCTGCTGCTTGTATGGCAACTCAGCTATGGCTTTGGTGTAGCGCTGCAGCAGTGATAGCAATTCCTGGCATTGCGGTTGAGCCAATTGCTCCACATGCAAATGCTGCAGCAGCTGCAGCTCAATCAAAGCATTCGCCTCGTGGCTGTGCTTGCTCTGGCGCAGCCGAGGCACAACCACAGTGAACTGGCAATTGGGTGCGGGAAACGCATCATGCAGCTTTGCTCCTATGCAGCTCAAGTTGTGATCCTTAAGTGCTCGCTGAAAATCCGTCTCAGTATAGACCAACAGAACCTGTTGCTCCATGTTCCAGGCATCTTCCAACTCGACGCCCGCCACAAGCGTTTGTTGGCCAACATTGCGCTCCCAGATAATGCAGTTGCGTGCAGGCAAACAGCGTATTTCATATTTCAAATCCGTATTATTTAATTTTTCCAGCAGCTCCTGGCCCCAGGGGATACGCAGCAGCCCTTGATCAAGTACCAGGCGTACATACTTCTGACACTCACCAGGCCTAATACGCTTCTGTTGCTCGCGCATAGCCTGTTTAAGCAGTTTATCAGCTTTGTTAGACATGATCTACTTTATTTAAAATTTTAACAAATTGAAGCGCCAATGCGCATATAAATAAACAAAAGCAGTGTTGAGAAGCAGCAATTAGAATTCTTCTCTTAAATATCGATATTTGGGTTCCAGCTATCGCATCTATCAGTATCGATATTTATGTGCGTATTCAATGTGATAAGCGGCATTTATCGTTGCGCAGCACTGCACGCCACACGTGTTTATATTTGCTTGTGAAAAAGTCGCACTTTTTATAAATCGTTAAAAATGTATCTTATGTACACAATTGGTGAAAACGGTGAGCGCATCTATACTCTGAAGGTAAGTTTAGTGAAAGTGTAATAAAGGATGGGACTAATATGTAACCATCACTTGCAGAAACGTACGGAGGACGGTCGCCCCACCTTGTCCGCACATCCAGCTCGTTTTTCACCTGAGGACAAATATTCCAGACAGCGCATTACCATCAAGAAACGTTTTGGATTGTTGCTCACACAGAAGCCGGAGCCCATCTATTAAGCCACAGTTTAGGTTTAAATTAGCTTATGTATATTTACAAACTATAATTAAACAAAACAAAAACATTTCAAATACGACGCTTTAATCCTGCAGTATAGTCAAACAACTGGGGATTGCGGAACTCGCCCCGCATATCCAGTACATAGTACAGCGCCTTGTTCTTGACCTTAATGGGCAGTTGAACACGGGCCATTTCACGTGATTCCTCCGCTGAGATGCACTTCAGTGGCACGGTCATAATGCGGTTACGATTGAATGGTCCATAAGTCACAAAGGAGACACTGTCTCCGCCCTTGCGTAGAATGAGAAACCGCACCGAGCGCAGCGTAAACATCCAGACGGCAAACAAAATGCCATAGCCTGAAGAGAGAATATTTTTAATACTGTGAAATCTTTAATTTTATAGTGTATCCACTCACCTATTAAAAAACAGCATATAGTAATGCCATTCTTATACTTGTTCTCACCCAGATTTATGCGCTGGTACCATTTCAGCTCTTCGCCAGGTTTTTCCACAACGGGCGCATCTTTTAGCGTCGTAAAGGCGAAATGCGATAAATACGTCCAGAACACAAATTGGCACAGGCCAAAAAAGTTCAGCATCTTATAGAATTTCGGATTTTCATATTTAAACAATACAATATCCTTTTGCACATTTGTGCTCACATCATAGGCAGCTTTGGTCGACTGGCTTCGAATGGGTGCAATTGCAGCCGGCAGTTTACTAGCTATTGCTGGCACCGTACTGCGTAGGCTTTGCAGTGTGTGTCTTTTTAGGTAATTGGCGCCATGCCTGAGTGCGAAATTGATCAAATTGCTCATTTTGACTGATAACTTTGTTTACGGCATTTATTATAAAACAAAACTAACCTACAAGTTGCACAGATGTTTTTGTTTTGTTTCGTTTTATTTGTAGTTCGTTCGCGGACGAACTGGTATTTGGAGCCCCATTACCAGGGCTGACAGCTGCAGTAAGCAAAAGCTGTGCTGCGGTGAACTAGATTTGCAGATATTAATCACTTATTAATATGACTAAATTTGGTACTTGGTAAATTGACTCTTGAAATTTGGTACGTGATTGCCTAACAACATCAACAATTTGCATGGTACCTAATAAGGCAATTTATCAGTTTTCAGTTTTAGTCAAAACTTTAATGTATTTTCTGAGAATTCATAAAAAATAAGATTTTTATATTCAAATAATAAATTGTTGTTATTGAATGGATATTTTTTTATTTATTGCATATCACAAATTTAATATATATAGACTTTTTTATATATATATATAAAGTCCCTGTTATCTGTTCATTTGTTGCAGTGCTTTTGAGCTAGCTAAACAGTTCACGAACCAGGCACATTCCAACTGATTCGTGGTTCTATACAATTGTTGTTGTCTGCTCAGATTTTAGTCTGTGTTTGGTATTCCAGTTGTTCAGGGCGGCAGTGCACGCGCTGCGGTGTAAACAAAACGACAAAATACCGTTTAAACTATTAAATATATAAATTCAATACGTAGGATATGTTAAAAACGTTTAATAAAAAAGCTTAATTTAACGGCAATTAGAAAATATCGAAACTTCACAGAGGTAAGTCTCTAGAATGCCATTAACATGGTTTGTTGGTGCTCTACCTCACGTATTGTTGTTATTATTATTGTTTAGAAGCTTTTACTATAACATATTGCATATACATATATAAAAGTTTTAGTGGGTTTTCAACATATTGACCATAGTTTCAAGTTTCGGACTTATAAAGAGACACTTTTAAGATACTTGCTTGAGTTTGTAGGGTTGTCAGGTGGCTCCACGGCAGCCGGTAAATACAATAATAATTTTGTTTATCTGCCAAATGGTCAGATGTATACATCGAAACCGATTTATGACTGGCATATCTACGTGTTGTCCTTTCACCTCAAGCGTAACCTGTGCCAGATAATACCCATATGTGTGATTTGATGATGATGGCAACCCTATTATATACCATGTGCATGGTAATTAGTCGCATAATCATGAATTAACGCCCATATTTATATATATAAACACAAAATAAATAATATATATACTAACATTATGCTTGCCGATACTTGGCAGCCCTAATGATATTAAATTGTACAATAAAACGAATGAAAACTGTTGCCCCGTCTGCAACAGTGGCGTTTGCCACTACCCGAGTAGCTAAATATGTCTGTCTGGGATCGATAGATATTTTTGCTATAATATCATATATTATATAGTTGCCCTGCATAGATCTGTAATATTCCCCGGGGTTTGAATGTTTTTCAAGCTAACCTCACTTTACATTAAAATCGATACGTAACCTAAAAAGAATGTGAATGCGCTGCAAAATTAATACATATACACGCACACATACACTCACGAACCTTGTTATACATACACACAGACGGCTAGTTAAGCAAACGCAGGTATAGATGTGTGCGTGTGTCTGTGTGTGCGAGAGCGAAACAGCTATAATAGACATAACTCCCAAGACCAAACATCATTCTGTTGCCGTTGCATGTACATATGAAAAAAAATATATTATTGTGCATCCAAAGTTGGCCATGCACAACATATTTATCAGTTAGCAGAAAAGAAATAAAAATAAATTGAATTTTTACTCTCATTGTATTTCTATAAATAGACAGAGAAAGCGAAACGAAGAGTATAATTTGTCATATATGTATCTAGATAGATATATCCAGAACATAATCGTAGTCAATTACTACCGATTTCTATATCTTCTATAGCCGACCCCAGACCTGTTTCTCCCGATTACATTTAGATGTCTAATATGGCTGCCGACGCCTCAAAGAGAAAAAAAAACACTTTTTTTCGCTTCTGTTTTGGTTGCTGCTTCTCACTGTGCTGCTGCGGTGTCTTTCAGTCGGTACGGCTCGTCGTACGACTTTGTCGCTCGGCTCGGTGCAAAACTTTTATTTTTCTGATAGATTACTTACATATATATCATATATATTATATTGTATGTATGTACATATTTTTACCTCGTATAAACGTTAAATTGCGCTGCTCCCTTCTCGCTCTATCTCTCTCTCTCTTGCTCTCTTGCTGCAAGCGCTTACGCTCCCTCCCCCTCCCGGTCTCTCTGGAGTGCCTTAGACCTGTTCGAAAACCGGTATCCTGCCAAAAGTCCTAGGCACATTCTCAAGTCCTAAAAAAGTGCGGATCTTAGACTAGACGCAAAAATTTGCCACCTACCGCCCGCTTTCCTTCTCCCTCCCTCTCGCTCTCGCTCTCTCTTTCACTGTGGCTCTCTCGCTGCGTATGTTTGCATTGCATTAACACGTTTTAATTTACATTTTTGTTGTCATTTTTCTATATCAGATAATAGTTTAATTTCTCCTCTCGACCTCCCCCCTTCCCCCTCTGACCCGTACCCTCTGGCTCCCCCGTCTACCTCCCCCTTCCTATTCGACCACTACCTACGCAGATACATTGTAATACATAGAGCTGTACCGCTCACACGCACAGCTTACTCGCATCAGCCGTCTCGCTCGCACAATACGCAGCATTGCTCGTTTTTGTAAAATGCCAATTTATGGCAACTTTAATTTTTGGTTTTACTTTGCTTTTGTTTTGTGTCTTGTTATTGTTGTTCTTCCATTCTATTTTCTTATCGGCATTTGGCGGAAAAACTATAATGGCATATTCGAAGATCCCCTGTTGCAGCAGTACTGCTACTTCAACCCCTCTACCCGCTCTCCCGGTTGTACTATACATATAAGAAATAGCGCTGCCAACTTGCTAAGAAAAGTCTTTCTCTAAATTACGAAACTTTACATAAAAGTTGACCTATATTAGTGCTATCCAATATCAATTGGCTTTTCTTATATATTTTATATACATATCTAGTATTTATATACATATACATATATAGTTGCCAGCATTGCTGACGTCGCAGCGCATTTGTAGTTAGGGGTCGCACGCACCGTGGACACATTCAAGATGTGACATTAGGAAAAATAAAATGAGAAAATGAAAACTTTAGGGAAAAATGATTATAGAACGTTATCAGAATCCAATTTGACACGCCCTAAACCAGCAGTTGGGTCGCTGCCCCCTAACCATGCCCACTCTTACGCTCTCGCTACCTTACTCTCTCATTTCGTATTGCTCTCTCTCATAATTTAAATGTCGTCGTCGTCGTCGTCGTCGTTGCCGTTGCCCGTCAGCTGGTTTTTTGCGCTCGCGTTCGCGTTCACTTCGGCCACTGTTTTAGTGTTGCCTTGAACTCGCACAAAAATCTAGTTACAAATAATTTGATTTCTTTCGAGTCTAGTGTAAATTTGTTGCAAGACGTAAACGTTAAATCAATCTAGTCTAGATTGAGCATCGTGTAAGTCGATTATATAAAAATTTTGCAAACTCTCTTCAACATAACCTCAATTTTACTAACTAAACTTAAATTTTGGTTTATCGAAAATCGCTTCAATTCTAATTCATTAGCATTAACAACGGTTTATTTTTTCTGTTGATTTCATTTTCATTTCGTTTCGTTTCTATGCTGGCTCTAAACATTTATCACATGTTCCTGCTTTATGCATGCTTATTTCTCTTCTTCTTCTTCATTTACATTTTGTCGCTGTTCGCTTTGCATTTGTGTTTCGATTGCAGACATCTCTTGCGCTGCGGCCTCTCGCTCTCTTTGTTGTGCTTGCTGTTATTGTTGTTGTTGCTCGCGTCGGCAGCATATGTACGACCGAACGAACAACCGACCGTTCGACCGTCCCGAGCGACCGTCCGACCGAACAACAAGCACACCGGTTAGGTATGCAGATTTACAGATACATACCGAAACCCGAAAGAGCCTATATAAAATCACGAAAAAATCAGTTGATATTTGTATACGATTTACACTTAGATATATATCCATCTGATTAATACAGTTTATATAAAAGCTGAACTCAAATGGAGGGATTTCTCTCTGTTTTCCCCGAAATCCGTTACTTTTTGGCCCATCCAAACTTTCATTTGGGTTCTCAAAATAGAAACCCGGTTCAGCTGATTTCAAATTGTAGTTTCATTTAATTTTCATTGCTAGCAAAAACTACAACG